CTCACCCCGGGACAGCGGGAGCGGGGCTCACCCCGGGCAGCCGGAGCGGGGCTCACCCGGGGCAGCCGGAGCGGGGCTCACCCGGGCAGCCGGAGCGGGGCTCACCCCGGGACAGCCGGAGCGGGATTGACCCGGGACAGCCGGAGCGGGATTGACCCGGGACAGCCGGAGCGGGACTCACCCCGGGCAGCCGGAGCGGGGCTCACCCGCGCCGAGCGGAGCCGCGGCTCGGGAGGACGCTCAGAGCCGGGCGGGGCTCTCGGGGCAGCCCGACACGAGCAGAGCAGCAGCGCTCGGCCAGGATGGGTGGGGAGCCCGGGGCAGGACCCGCCTGCGGAGCGCCCCCAAAAAGCTGAACGGGGGCAGAACTGTGGGGCTGGGAGCAGCAGCAATGGCCTCCCGTCCATGAACCGGGAGCAGCGGCTGGCGCTGGGCGGGTGCGGGGAACCTGCAGCTCTCCCCCACCTCCTCTCCTCCTCAGGAGAGAAGAGCCGTGAAACAAAGCCGCAGGTCGCACATCCATCGCTCGGGGTGGGCTGTGCTCGCGTTTTCACCCGGGCACCGCCACAAGCGCCAGGCACGGGGACGGACACGGGCGTGTGACGATGCTGCGGTGAACGGAACGAGCCGCGGCTCTCGGCACCGGCGAACGCAGCCGAGCGCTAACGGAGAGCCCTTCCCTTCGTTAAACTCACGGTCACACAGCCCAAAAGCGGGGACCGCCAGAACCTCCAGCCCAACGTGCCCCTGGCCCCGCCCGGCTCCCGGCGAGAGGCGCTGCCCGCTCCGCCGCCCCTCGCCGCGCTCCCGGCGGGATGCGGCCGCCCGGGGGTGCGGCTGGGGATGCCCGAGGGGCCGGGGGCACCCTCCCGGCTGCTCCCCGGGATCGGGCCCGCAGGGGAGGGGGCTCGGCGGTGCCCCCCGGCCGTCGGGTGCCCCCCAGCCCCGCGTTACCTCCAGCCCCGGGCGGGGGGCGCGGTGCATGCGCAGCCGCCGCTGCCCTTCATTCATAAAAAAAAAAAAAAGGGAAAAAAAAAAAAAACCACAAAAAAACCGAGAGCCGCATCCGCGCTCCCCTCCAGCCCCCATTCATAAAAGGCAGCGGAGCATGCGCGGTGCCGCCGCGGTGCCCACCCATTCATAGAGTCGGGCGGCGGCGCACGCGCAGGAGCGGCCGCTGCCCTCCCATTCATAAAATAGCCATTTTCCCAGGCGGGCGGGCGGGCGCAGCGCCGCGGCCGCCGCTGACAGCGCCGCGCTCGCAGCTCCTGCCCGCCGCTCCCGCCGCTCGCCGGCGTCCTCCGGGGCCGGCCCCTCGCCTTTGGGATTAACTCGCCTGTGGAGACATGGTCCTAGCCGGATTATTTAAAGTAAGTACGAGATCGGGGCTTGCGAGCAATTGTTAAGTGTTTTAAGTAGAAAAAGCCAAGCCTGCTCCCCGAGGGAAAATCCTGCGCTCGTTCTAGATGCGTTGGGTTGCTCCTTACAGATCGCTGATCATGAGCATTTTTCTGGCGATGACTTTTCTAACAGTGATTAGCTATGATTACCTACAGTGGAGAGCTGCCTGGTGCTTCCCAGCCTAGAGGAGACCCGGCATTCTGGAGAAATATCCTGTTTCTTGCAGAATTTCCATTTGTGTCCCTGCGTCTCTGATTTATCCCTCTTTTCTGTGTTCTCCCATCAACATCTGCATTTGCTGTACATATATGGCAGGCAGGTTTCGGCACACTTGGGTCGGGCTTGTTTGCAGGCGTTTCCAGCAGAATAAGTGGCTTTTTTTCTGCTGATGGGATGTCTTCTCCTCCATCCCTCCTTCCTTCCCCGAAAAGGAGCATAAATACATGGTCACCTGGGCTGACAGGTCAGAATTGGATCTTTCTTGCTTTGGAACGGATTATCCGCATTTCCTCTCTTTTCCAAAGCCCTGTCTCGTGAGTGTCAAGTAGTTTTTAGCTGTCTCCATAATAGGACACTTCGGGAATCAGCCACTCATGTGTCAGACCTTTCCTGCGTGACCTTTGCTCTTCAGCATTTTATTTCATACAAGCCTTTTTTTCATTTTTTTTTGCTTCGGTGCCTTATTTCCATCACTGTTCTTCCTTGTCTTGCTGTACACTTGTTTTAAATCTGGATGGATGCTGTATTTTAAAGGCTAGATGAGTAATAAAAATGGAATAACTTCATCTAATATACAAAATATTTTATGTATGGAGGCAAAACCTGTGCTGGCTGCTCCTTCCTACCAACTGCGTAGCAAAGATAAGCCAGGATTTTATTTTCTGGTACAGTCCTGGCGTCACAGGAGAAAGACAAGCCTAGAGACGACATGTTCTGAAAATTCATTATCAGGAGGGGAATGGAAAAAGCAGAAAGGGGCATGAAAAAGGCACAAAGGTCTCAGAGGAAAGCAGGAGTGAGAATGCAGACCTTGGAAATGGCAGTGCAAAGGAATATCACGGGGGAAAAGGCTTCCCTCTTTCACCTCCAGTTACCAAGGGTCTGATTTCTTCATTTAAGTCCTGTGTAGCCCCAAGTTTTTCTTTAAAGGGTGAAGGAGAGAAGGAAAAGCATCCCTGCATTATCCAGAGTGGAAAAGGCACCTTCTAGATTCTTTAAAACTTCTCCAGCTGCTGCCTTTCCTCCATACCATGCCAAGGGGACAGTATGGCAAGAAATTGCTGTTTAATTAGCTAAAGAGGAACTCGGCTTTCCCAATATTAAAGCTTCCCCTCTCTGCCTTTATTTTGGGTTAAAGAATAAAGCCCCAATTTGTGCACGGAATCACAATGATCCTGATGCCTGGCTTCCCCCTTGTCCATCTAAAAATGAATGATAGCAGGAGGAGGGGTTGCTCTCAGTTATTGGAACCCTGCTGGGGATGTCTCGTTGATAAATGTGCCCTTTTCCATGGGCTACTGTGTTTTCCCTTGCTGGAAGGGACTCTATATTGGGATTATAAAATTAAAAGGACCATTTCTGAATACTGCAGCCCTTTTGAAATTCTCCATGAGGTATGTGTAGGGGAGAAATTATTTGTTCTCCTCCTGAAACAGCAAAACAAAAGCTGTTTTCCTGGAATCATGACTAATTCCCAAATCGTACTGGGGAATGCAACATCTCAAAAAGCAATTCCTACCCCCCCCCAAAAAAAAAAAAAATCTGTTCTCAGACATCGATGAAATAAAATTCACATACCTTGCAACACTACAGCAATAATTAATTACCAGTTCTGACAGTTTTCATAAAATTAAACGTGAAAGAAAAAAATTCATTCATCACATTCCTATATAACTTTCCTGCTTCAGCCCAGTAGTAAAAACTGTGTTTTTATAGGCAAACAGTTGCACAAGTGTTGGTTTTTTAATCCTTTTTCAATGCAATACAATGTATTTCCTCAAGAAAATCTACAATCCTTCCAATAAGTTTATCATTTAGTACATTAGTTTAATAGATCATATCTGAGCTTAGTTTTCTGACCTTAAAATAAATGTTTTTGTCCAGCAAAAGGCTTTGACTGAGAAATCCAAGTCCCCAGAGATCTGAATGCTAGTGGGCCAAAATGTGCTTTATTCACTCGCACCATAGGAACAGACTTTAGCTGGACAGAGACAGCTTCTTGGAAGTCTACAGGTCTCATTTCCCAGCTCCTGAATTTCCACGCTCTGGCAAGAATGTAGTGTCTCGTTTTGAAAATGGCAGGTTTCCCTAATAAGCTTTCTAATTTTTTTCCTACCTTATTACTTGTAGAGAAGATTCTAGCTGGCCTTAGCTAGATAAGGCTGCTAAGGAGGGGAACAAAAAGAATGAATGCCAATATTTTGTTAATATTAATATACACTTTAGAGGAAAAAAGCTTTTTTTTTTTCCTTTTTTTCAGAGCATTTATGGCTCGTCTCAAAATCCAGACAGCCGAACTCAGCCTTAATGAACTCCAACCTTATGAATTATTCTTAATCCCACATTAAAAACATGTGCTTGCTGCAAGGTCTCCTTTAACTACCTCTGAGTGTAGTCTTCCTCATTAAAAGCTTTAATTGAAGCCTTTGGCTTGCACCAGGAGCAGGGTGTCCCATGTCACTGCTGGCAGGCCTGGACAAGAGGATGTCCTTAATCCCAGCAAAGGCAGGGCAGGATTTGTTCCCTTGCCTCCAGCTCCTCTGCTGGGCCCTGGGGAGCAAATCCTTTATTGATCACTGGGTGGGACCCTGCCCTGCCCGATGCTCAGGTGCAGCTCTGCCCAGCCTTCTAGAGGAGTGTTTTCACCAAAAACTGCTTTTTAACCAAGCCACCAGAGGAGACAGACCGGTGGTGACAGATCAGATTTGGCACTGGCTGCCATCGACTCTGAGCTGTGCTGCCTTGCACAGGCCTGGGAATGTTTCTGCCCACCCCTGGCATGATGCTGCTGCCAATGTATTGCTTTCAGTTATGATCATTTCCTGTATTAAGACTAAATATTCTGTGCTTTTCTTGTTTTCTTCCCCTTGCACTATTTCAGTATTTTCAGAAATTCATGTGTCCCAGACAGCAAAGAAAATAAACCAATTTCTGCAGTGCATTTACTGCAGCTATTGCTGCCTCTGTGTCAGTGTCAGTGAGTGACTGTCACAGCTCCTCCAGAGACTAATTCAACTTTTGCATTGGCAATGGAGTCACAGCCTGGTTTGGGATGGAAGGGACCCTAAAGCTCATCCCATTCCACCCCTGCCATGGCAGGGACACTCCCACTGTCCCAGGTGCTGCCAGCCCCATCCAGCCTGGCCTTGGGCACTGCCAGGGATCCAGGGGCAGCCCCGGCTGCTCTGGGCACCTGTGCCAGGGCTGCTCACTCTCACAGGAAACAATTTCTTCCTAAAATTTAATCTAGCCCAGGTGTAGTATCAGTGACCAAGAGAAGGCTGATCCCTCTGTAGGTGCCAAGATCCAGAGTTGTCTGGTCTGGCCCAAAGCAGATCCCCAGATGAGCAGCTCAGCTCTTACCCTGTCCCAGTGCAGGGCTCAGCCTTTCATCAGTCCGTGGCAATTTCTTCATCCCTTCTTCACAGCAGCTTGTGATGCTTCAACAGTTGGGAAACTCCTGGAAACCTGTGATTGAAAATTCATGTTGAAGCATCAAATTTGTTGTATTCCCTATACAGTTGGACTCGACGATCCTAAAGGTCCTTTCCAACCTTAACAACTCTAATATAAGGAGGTGGCTTTTTGTGCACCAGTGCTCTCCATGCCCCCAGCACCATTACAACCGTTTTCATTTATGAGATATATAAATATAATGGTCCTGGGGGTGGCCACCAGCCCCTGGCAAAGGGCAGCACGGCACCACTGGCAGGTTCAGCAGCTCCCTGATGTTCAGGGCACAGTCCAGTGATGTCACAGGACATGGAGGGGACAATCCAGTGCCAGCAACCCCAGGAGAAATCTTGGTTTGCTGAGGCAAGCAGCTCCTCCTGCCGTGGGTGCTGTCAGACACAACAGAAGGGACAGGCTGCTCAGGAGGTGTCATTAAGGTGGAATTAATTAGAGAGAGCTGAGTGGCCCCTGATCTGGAGCACACAGCTGACAGACACAAGGGTTTGGTGGCTGCATCACTTCCCTGCCCACCCCGGGGTCTCTCAGCAAACACAGCCCAAGCAGCACATCTGGGCCTTTTTGGCTTTCTGTGACATTTGAGATTCCCTTTAGACATTTCCATGGAAGATCTCGTGTCCAAAAAGGGTTGGGCAGAACTGTGGGACCTTGTGCCTGGTTCTGGCTGCAGAGGAGGAGCTCATGGCAGCTTTTCCCATTTTCCTGCTGGCTGCACTGGGGATGTGGCAGTGCTGGGTTGCCCAGGATTGCTTCCACATGGGACCCTCCTCTGGACTTAAGTCCCTTACTCTTATTATTCTTTTATTACCACAAACATCTAGAATATTGTTAAACACGTGAGAAAGAACTTGTTAAAATTATTAACCAGTGGGTGACTCAGATAGTTATGAACATTTGATTTTTAAGTGAAGATCCATTTTGTTTTTCAGTTACTGGAAGATTTGTTGTCCGACTCCACTCTGAAAATAAAGATATTAGACCCTTATTCTTTCAAAACTTGTTCTGAAGACGTTAATGGGAATGAGTTTTCCTGAGGGTTTACGTGACTTTCTCATGGAATTGCCTACAAGGACAAAATGATGTAGGAAAATCCAAAATCCTACTAAAACATAAAATGCCTTTTGTTTTAATTTCATCTGATTTCAAAACCCTTCAAAACTTCTGAGTCTGAAATAATACCAAAACACTTTACAATAACAGTTGGTTTCCTACAACTTTAGGACTTGCAATTACCCAGTACAACAGTAATTTTAAATTGGCCATATCTTGATGAAGAGATGGAACAAACACTGCAACACGTGTATGAACTTGACTTTGGAGTCCAATTTTACTCCCTTGGAAGGAAGTATATTTTGACTTGAAAATTGTATGTGGTGAGTGATTGTACAGTCATGGGGGAAGAGAATTTTTTCTCTACATGGGAGTTTGCTGCCTTGAAAAGAACCTCATTGTTTGCCTCTAAAGAATGAAAAATTCCCTATGTAAGAATAGTCATGAATTTTCCTTCATGTTATCTACTTTAAGAAAATTATCTGTACAGTTGCAAACAGTGAATTTGTGCCTGTGTTAATGCTGTAATACATCTGTAAATACCTGTGATCAAGAATTAACTAATTTTGTGTGCTATATGGCTTTTTTTCCTCAATTGAAATGCAATTTACAGTCAGGATTAGCGCAGTGGACAGCAAAGATCCCTCAGGTTGCACCCCTCAGCTCTTGTCCTCTTTCAAGGTCTAAAGTTCTGCTGGGTTACCCCAAACATTCATTTTGATTTGGGATCTGGCTGGGAGAAGCTGTATAAATTCAGTTTATAAGGTACCAGCGTTGCTGCTGAAGGCAGTGTTATCCTTGTGAGCAAACACCCCACGTGGTTTGGGGGTGAAGGAAAGGCTGCCCTGCCTCTGGGTACACAGCCAGGAAAGGTCCAGTGGTGCCTGGAGGATCATCCAGGGAAGTCACAGGGCCCCACCAGGTATCCAGGCCTGTCTCACTCCACAGGACCAGCCTGGCTTAGGATCTCCTTCTGCCCAGCACAAAGCCCTGACCCAGGATGGGCTGGACTGCTCTGTGCCAGGGCAGGGGGGCACAGTGCGCCTGTCCTGGGACACACACGGAGCACCAGCAGCTGAGGGGAAGGTGCCCAGAGCCAGACACAGCCTGGAGCTCTGCCCTGGCTGTCACCTGGCAGTGCCCAGGGGAGAGGAGGCTCCTGGCAGGACGAGCAGCACCCAGCTCGCTCCGAGTGCAGCGCTCGAGGCGTTTGACCCGGATCTGTCACCAGCGATCTCGCTGCGCTGCTGCGACTTCTGGTGACAAGGCCAGCAGCAGCAACCGAGTCATGGTCCTTGGAAAATTCCAGAAATATCAGCAATTGGTCTGCCAAGAGCAGCATGAAAGGGGAGAGCAGTTAACTGCAGAAACCCTCTGCTCAGGACGGAGAGGGCAGGGCAGAAAGTGAAGGACCACGTGTCCAAGCACCAAAACCTATCGGGGTGGACATCTGTGGTGGTTTAAAGGTGATAAAGACATCATGGCCAGAGCAGGGGTCTGGGAATGGGAAGAGCTGGGTCTTGTTTGGCTGTTTTCCCTCCACAGGCTTTATCCAAGTGGATCCTGTGCCCAGATATCTGCAGGGTCTTTGAGTTCACCATGTCAGGCTTCCCTTCCCCTTGTGCTGCAGAAATACTTTATCTATTAAAAAGACAATTTGAAACTGTACTACAGTGAAAAAAGAGGATGAAAAACTTCTATCCTTAACTCTCCTGACGTGTGGTGTTTAGTCCAGGGTCCCTCTCCTTTCTGTGGTAATTAACTGAAATCTTGATTAGCACTATCTCAGATAAGCCATCTTTAACATCTGCCTGCACGAGGCCCCGTCTGTGCACGGGGATGTTTGAGGAGTGGCCTGGCTCTAATCCTTCCCAAACTAATCTGGTGACACCATTCCTGTGTGATGGCACCACTGGCCCTGGAGCACAGCAGAGTTGATGGCATCTCCAGGGGCTCCCACAGTGCCACCAGCGATGCAGAACGCCCTCGGTGTGCCACCCTGGGCAGGCAGAGGTGCCACCCTGGGGACAGGCAGCTCCAGCTCACCGCCCGGGCTGGGCAGCTCTGCTCCACACACGTGCTGCCACACAAGGCAGCACCTTGAAACAAATGGTTCTCCATGGATCCAGTGGCAATCTGGTGAACAAAGCAGATTCCCAAGAGCTGGTAACAAGTGGGAGTGAGCAGAGAGCCCTGGAGGGGCCACGAAGGCAGGGCTGGCAGGGCGAGGAGGAGCTGCAATGCCCTGCAGCGCTGCCACCATTTCCTCAGCTACCTTCCATCTAAGATCAGCTCTGCTGCACTTACTCTTGGCAACCAAAACAGCTGCATCTCTCTCCTTTAGAAAAAAAACCAAAAAAACCCAGTGGAATCAAAGTCTCCCTGCAAATGTAACACGCAGCCGATACAGAACTGATGATTTTGCTAAACTCTGACTTGCAGCAAATACTTTTTATATCATGACACTGGATGCTGATGCACAAAAGAAAATCAAGCTCTTTTCCCTCTGCACACACCATAGTTGTCAGAATCATTGCTTCTCTTTGTTTTTTACATACAGTAACTAGCAAGAGATGCTTTATAAACCCTCTTGTTCCTCCAGTCAGGATGTCAATGAGCTATGAATAATGAAATGATAAAAAATCCAAATGAATGGCTAAGACCCGGCAGAGAATTTTAACTGGGGAAGAGAAGCAGCATAAGGGCTGCATGACACTAATGATCATTACTGCTAATAAAGCAGTTCTTGCCGTGGTGCAGGGCACGCAGGGGCCCGGCGCGTGCCGTCCTGCCCACGCGCGGCCGCTGCGGCCTCAGCCCGCTCCCCTCCCACTGATCCCGGGAGGACTGGCGCTTCTCCAGCCCCAAATGCCAATGATCCATCAGAGCAACGATTTACAAACACAAGAGTGGACTCTGGGGGCGTTTTTCAGGGGGTAAAAATGGGCTTCCCTTTCTTCTTCCGAGAATGCGGAATCAGGTCTTGCTCCGATTTCTGTCGTGTTCGTTTTTGGGGAGATGTGCTCTCGCAGGAGTGTAAACACATTTACACACACACTTCTTGTGCATGATTTGGTTGTAGCTGGATGCAGTTTTTTCCTTTTTCCCACTGCTGTGACACTGAAAGTCATAGAATCACAGAATCATTTAGGTTGGAAAAGACCTTTAGGATCATCGAGCCCAGCTGTTAAACCAGCGCTGCCAAGATCAAATCTTTCACGCTGTTGGAAAAGGTTAATTTATTTGTTGAACACAAACAACTGGCAATGCCTTAAGCTGTTCACTACTTCCTTTTTCTTGATACCAGCAGCTTTTCCCCTCCTGCGACCGAAGCTTTACTCACCCCTTCTTTCTACTGATCTCCAGCATTATATTATTTATGAATAAAGGTCACCCCGTGAGGAAATGGCACATCTACTAGAAAACAATGTGCACTTTCTAAATTTGAACTGAGTCGTTTCCGTTCTTTGATTTAAGTTTAGTTACTTCCTGTGGTTTCTTGTCCTACGCCACTGCTGAATCTTTGGACTGACTCCAGGATAAATTGCACTCTTTCAATGAAATTAGAAACTGCGGCGCTGACGGCTCAGCCAGGGCGGCTGGTAAACAGCACTTCAGCTGAATATTAGTGCACTTAGTGGGCTGCACGAGTGTCTCATTACCTGTGTGAGGTGATGGATCCGGCCTGAGCCGTGTGGGTGCTCTCCTGGGAGCTGCACCCTTGGCTCCCACCCTGGTTTGCCTCCAGACAAGGTGCTGAGCAAGCACTTCCACCTCCCCTGGGAGGGATGAAGGAGCCTCTGGAACCAGCGGCTCCTGATGGAGAGGAGACACTTCCTCACCAAAATCAATCCATCCTCCCACTGGCAGATCCTTGCTTAGCAAGGACAGGTGCTCAGCCCCATGCTCAAAAGCATCCTTGTACCAGGCCAATGCTTCCACAAGCCACAATCCTGCATCAAGTTTTTTAGGGATCAGGGTCAACTGGGAAAACCTCCAAAGTTTAGAGAAATCATTTCAGGAAATTTGCTGACAAAACCACATGTAAATGTACACCAGTAGCCCCCAGATTTGCTTTCCCTCTGTAAAACCATGAGTGAGCTCTTCAGGAGCCTGGAGTGACCACAGCCCTCCCGGGGCTGGAAGAGCTATAGATGGCCAGGTCAGGGAGAGGGACACGGTAGCAAAGGAGGAGTGAGGCACTTTGTACCTGGTGCTCTGCCTTCTCAGACACAAGTTTACCTTACAAAACCTTCAGCACAACAACCAGCCTCAGCAAGGAGCCCTCTTGGGCTGGGATTGCAGGATACCACAATAACAATGTGCTCTCTCTCCATCTCCCCCATCCCTTTTCTTTCTCCTTCCCTCCTCCCAGGACACTTGAGCACAGATTTCCCCCCCAGCAGTCAGCCTGATTTCTCAATGGAGCCCCGGATTCCCCACAACATCACCGTCGTCCCCAACTCTGCCATGGTGCAGCCCTTGCTGGACAGTTGGATCCCCTACGGGCGGCTGCAGCACCCGCTGACCATCCTGCCCATCGACCAGATGAAGACCACCCACATGGAGAACGACTACACCGACAACCCCAGCGCCTCCCAGCCGCCGGCCCAGAAGCGTCCCCGAGCCCCCCGCGAGCCGGGCTCGACCGGGCAGCACCCGCAGCGCTGCGAGCAGGATGTCACCCACCCCTGGATCTCCTTCAGCGGGCGGCCCAGCTCCATCAGCAGCAGCAGCAGCACATCCTCAGACCAAAGGCTCCTGGACCACATGGCCCCGGTGCCCGTGGCGGAGCAGTCGTCCCCCCGCGCCGTTCGCATCCAGCCCAAGGCCATCAACTGCAAACCCCTGGACCTGAAGGGCCCCGCGTCTCAGGAGCTGGACAAGCACTTCCTGCTGTGCGAGGCCTGCGGGAAATGCAAGTGCAAGGAGTGCGCCCTGCCCCGGACCCTGCCCTCGTGCTGGGTGTGCAACCAGGAGTGTCTGTGCTCGGCGCAGAACCTGGTCAACTACTCCACCTGCATGTGCCTGGTCAAGGGCGTCTTCTACCACTGCACCAACGAGGACGACGAGGGCACGTGCGCCGACCACCCCTGCTCCTGCTCCCACTCCAACTGCTGCGCCCGCTGGTCCTTCATGAGCGCCCTGTCCCTGGTGCTGCCCTGCCTGCTCTGCTACCTGCCGGCCACCGGCTGCGTCAAGCTGTCCCAGAGATGCTACGACCAGGTGAGCCGGCCCGGATGCAGATGCAAAAACACAAACAGTGTCATTTGCAAGGCGTTGCCAGAGAGCAAAGGGGCAGAAAAGCCCTTTTAATAGTTTGGGAGGATGGAGTTGGGAGGATGCTCCGCAGAGCAGGGTGGTGTTGGCTCTGTTTAACAACCTGTGTTCTGAGGAGAGCGTCAGCCTCTCGCCTTCGGAGAAAGCAGAAGCAAATATTTCCACAGACTGAAGCACTTTGGGTTATTCAGGGTTTTTGGAACTGGTCGCAGTTTAAATAGATGGGGCCAAAGGAGGAATGTTAGTAATGCAGAGTGAAGGCTGCAAACCCATGTACACCGTGAAGTACAGCTGCTGAAATCTCCCAGCTTGGACGGACGGCTGCTCACCAGGCCTGCACACCACAGGAACCATTAACTGCTCGCTCGGCAGGCACCGCCTCACAACCAATCCCCCATTCCCAGCTGCAAAAAGCTGCTTTGGATTCAGATTCAGGGCAGGCTACTTGCTTCCTGTCTCCTTCCAAACCCCAGCTCACTCCCAGCAGCCGTTGAAGGTGATGGGGGAACTCCCTGCACCCTCCCTCCCTCCTAGACACCACTCCAAGGGCTGGTTGCACACAAAGTACGTGTTTCTCAAAAGCTTTCTGTGTCCCTCAAAGATTTGTGGACCACAACTGAAACTAGATTTCATTTGTTGAAGGGTCTTCTGCCCTTTGGGTGTATCCCACCTGGTCCCACTGGTTTGGACCCTCTTTCTAAAGCAAGATGGTAGCAGGGCAACTCCTCCCAGGAGGAATTGCAGCAGGATGTGTTCAGGCAGTTGTATCAACACCAGGTCCTCCTGCCTGTAAGCTGATCCGTGGCATAAGGTTTCACTGGATGGAATATGAATTTTCCCTCTCCAGGAGGAAGGTGGCCAGTCCCGTTTCCCCCAGGCCCAGCTCGCTCCTGGTGCTGGAGCAAAGGGGAGGTGACTCAAGCCACAAAGCAAAGTCGGGTGGGGTTTGTTCTCTAAACCTCTTAAGCTCTGGTAAGAAGTCACACAAACCTAAGTGTACGATGCACATAGATGTATTTTTCTAGGGATCTCAATCCAGTACCTCCCCTCCTGGAACAAGCTCTTCTTTGCTCATTAGATATTAAGATTTGTTTTTGTCTTGGGGGTGAATGGCATTTGCTTGAAGTACAGCACATTCCCCCACCCCTATTGCTGCTGTTTGACTTTTGCCTCTTCTGTACAAAAGTGTCTTTTTAAATGTAAAGAATGCTTTTAGTGTTTATTTTCGTGTTAACACACACTAGGGAAAGCCAGGGGAAGGAGGAGAGTGTTGTTAACAAATGGGCCCGTGGTTTTCAGCATGCAAATATTGGCTCTGTCTGTGCCCTCATCCTGAGGCTGGTTCTGCCTTCCCCAAGGGTGCTGTGACCCCTCTCTCTTGACAACTACAAGGTGCTAAACAAGAATCTTGGTCCAAACATGCAACACTCTAACGAGTAGGTAGGTACTTGTTGCATGCAGAAAACTGACCCAGTCTCTCTTGGTGTTTTTAATTAGAGGAGATGTCCTCAGTAAATGCACAACAGTGACAGTGAAATGTCATCTCTAATTAGATAAGCAATAGGCAGAGCTCATGTAGCATTTCCAGGAATCCCCTTGGCCTGGTTGTGATGCAGCCACGGGCAGGGGCTGGCAGCAGCGTCCTGATGGGACTCTGGTGTCTTTGTGTTTCAGAATTCAGCTCAGCTGGATATTACTTGGGGTTTAGCTCAATTGAACTGTAGATATTTATTGAATGGGGGAGTTAAAAAAGCATAAAACCAACCAACTTTTCTATTTATAACACTTGCTAGCTTGTACATGCTGAATCATATTAGAAAAGGATGTAATGCCTGTTACCAGATAACAGTTCTACAGGGTAGCCTCATGTTAACTGTATGTGGGCACCAGGAAGCAGGTGGGGATCCAGAGCTGTATTTATTATCTTGCACAAATTGGAGGGGAAAAGATAAAAGGAAAACCAACCCCAAACTAGCTGAACTGTTGGTTGAATGTATAAGATATTGTATTTAATAAGAGAAATCATTTTCCTAAGACACAAGCAAGCTAGAAAAGGCCAGCAGGAGAGGTATTTACCTGCTGCCCTTCTCTGCTGGGACCACACGTGTCCAAAGGGCCTCCAGCCACGGCTGCTTTGCCTTTCTGACCCTCTGTCCCTGGCTGTTCCTGGGGAATCTGTGCTGAAAACCTGCTCTGGCAGAGCCCGTGGCCTGGCTGCGTGGTCCTGTGAGCAAAGGCACTGCTGGAATGGTGGCCACCGTGCCAACCTGCACTCATGTACCCACCCCCAGCACCCCCAGCCGGGTTCCCTGTCACTGTACATAGCTGTAAACTATTTCTCTGTTGGTTTGTTTGGATACCTAAGCCCTGGAAGCCTGCACGCCGTGCTGAGCCTGCCGAGCGTCGTGGCTGTGTCCGAGCAGTGGGCAGTGTAGCAGAGTGACCCTCCCTCCTCCCCTGGGCTCCAGCACGGCCGCTGGGCTCTGCTCCAGCCCTCCCAGCCCCAGGCATGGCAGGAAGGAGCCTGGAGCTGGGGCAGGGCCCACAGGGCAGGGCTGTGCCAGGGGCTGTGCCAGGGGCTGTGCCAGGGGGAACAGCTCCCGTCAGCAGCATCGCTATTCCCGCTCTTCCCCAGCCAACAATTCCATCCCCCCGCTCCCTCTGAAGGTACTCGGCTCTCCTGCCACCCCAGAGCTGTACCAGGGGCACGGTCACCGTGTCACAGCCTCCACCCTGCCAGGGTCAGAGCCCTGCTAACGAAGGGACAGCTGCTAACGAGCACAGAGCGCTGCAGCCAGGGCGCTGCGTGGGGCAGGGCAGCTGCCCCTGGGCCAGGTGCCCTGCTCTGGAGGAGGAGGAGGATGGCAGGGCACCTGCACTGCTGATTGCTGCAGCTCTGCTAATTGCAGCAGCAGGCTCAGTTCGCCCCTGTCCTCACAGAGCAGCCCAGGCAGCAAGGAGGGGGGACCTGAGGGTGCTGGCAATGCCACACCTCAATCCCAGCAGCAGCAGAGTGGCCCCAGCAGACAAACACCCCCTCGCCACAGCCCCGTGCCCGCAGGTGCCAGCCCACATTTGGTGCTCCCTGGGCACTGCCTTTGCCACCCTGATGAGCCCTCGCCTTCCCAGCACTGGGTATTCCCTTCTCCTCCCATGCTCAGACACCCTGAGAAATATTTCCCCACCTCCTCTTACCACCCCCCTCACATGTACACCCTGAAAAGTTACCACAGAAGGTTTTTCTTTGTATAGAATATTTATTTTGAAGTTCTATTTTAATAGTATTTATTTTAGAAAGTCTACTATTGTAAGAGTTCTTCTGTTTGTGAAGAAAAACAAGTACTGATGAATGTACTGATCTAGAAATTATATATATATATAAATATATATTGTTAAATATATAAATGGCTGTCGTGGTTCTTTAAAAAAAAAAAATCCCAAGAATGTTTATAGCAATTACTCTAAAAATACAAGCAGAGAGTAGCCCAGAATTGGTTATTTGATGCTCTCCAGCCCTGCCAAGGAACTCAGGGTGATGCTGGCATTGCTCTGCCCCCCAGCCTGGCACATCAGCAATTAATTACCCTCAGATCCCCTGAGTGGGAAGAGCCAGCACCTCAGTGAGGAGTACCAGCCTGCTCTGTGGACTTGTAGGAGCAATCCTCTCCTTCCCTGCACCGCTGAAAAATGCCAGCCTGGGAGCCAGGCTGCCCCTTCCAGGAGCCCTCAGTGTGCCAGGGGATGGGGGCAAAGAGAGCCAACCCAAAATCAGCAGCCCCAGCACACAGAGGGGTTGTGCCAGCCCATCCCACAGAGCCTCCCTCAGCTTTTCACACCCACTTCCAGCTCTCCTGCTTCTCCTTTCCAGGGGCAGAGCAGTGCTGCCCACACCACGACAGCCCCACCAGGGCCGTGGTGGGCACAGAGCATCCTCCAGCCCACCCCAAGGTCCCATGGGCACAGCCAGAACTCTCCCACCTCCTTGGAAAAGGACAAGAAGTTGCCAAGAATCAACTCCCCGGGCCTCTGCTCACCCTGCACAGCCCCTGAGCCACATCCTGGAGCTCCCACCCACCAGCACCCACCACCCTTCCTGCCCCCAGCTCCTCATGTGTCACCAGCATCACGCTGGACTGCTAAAAATACAGGATCCGGGTTATTTTTCACCATTCCTGTTATTTATTTGCACACACTGTGGAGCTGTGACTCACTGGAAGCTGTGCCATGTTTTGTGTCATCACAGAGGTAACACGAGTATGTTACCTGGCCTGAAATAATATTATTGAAACAATAATGTTGAATTAGTCAATGGATCAGATAAAGAGACAACAACTACACTGTGCACATCACGACATCTGATGCCAAAAAAATTGCAATAAGGAAAAGATACTGAATTTGTTGTGCTGGGGGTGGTTTTTCTTTTTTTTTTTTTTTTAACAAACAGGCTGAGCCAGGATGTATAAATTTAAATCAGAGTTTGGCAACACCAACTGATGTCTTGCACATAAAGCTTTAAAAATACCAACACGACGCTCATGTCTCTCTGCTGGAAGAGAACCAGAGCACTCTGCTTGATTTGAGCAGTAGATGTTAAAGCAATATTTTTTTAAATCTACTAGAATTATCAGCTTTTTTTTAATCCTTTTTTACATCATTTTCAGTTACTGGCTCTCAAAGGAAACCTGCTCCAATTCCAAAAGCACAGGCTATGGAACGGTGAAGAGATGCACAGAGCTAAGAGCACAACAGACTTCCCAGTCCTAGAGCAAGCCCAGCTCTTGGCTGGCAGACCTGAAAGGGAATTTCTAGTGAATCAAAGCACCCTAAAAATACCCTAAATCAATGTATTAATTTTGAGAGAATGGGCTGAAACTAACAGAAACTATGAACTTCCAGGAATAAGTGACCAGATCAAGCAGGTTGCATCCCTTGATCCCTTTCAACCCAAACCATTCTGAGATGCTACAAAATGAGATAAAAACCTAATTTTTAATTACTTTTAGGACTATTTTTCTAAAATATCTACTTAATAAGCATGATGAGCTTTTCCCAAAGGTGCAAGTGTTGCAGACAGGTAAAAGATGTAATAAAAGGCTTTATGAAACCAGGCCCTACTCTGCTAGTCTGTCACTTCTTCTAATTTCAGATAACTTGCAAGTTCCCATATTAAACAATCTTGGGTATGAAAATTTTGTGAACTCAACAGCATATTCCTTGGGGAGAAAAACAGGGGCACCTATTTAAACAATAAATCTTGTCCCGTGGGAAGCCATAAAGAAAGGATGTAAAAACTTAAATGTATGTACACAGAAATCACCTTCTGACTAATAAATGAAGTAAGAAAACTATTAGCCAACTGGTGGTGCACACGAGGCCTGTGAAAACTGCCTAAAAGGAGTTATGTGAATAAAGAATTGGCTTTTCTGCATGAAGACAAGGCAGTCCCAGGTGCCTTCTCCAGCATTGGTGGGACCCGACGCGATCTGCGGAAGGTGGCGGCCGAGCCTCGCCACGACAGCGGCTCACGGCACG